TGCAATATAGAAGCTGAAAATAATGGTCAAGATAGACCACTCCATTTAGCATGTGTGTCAGGGAATGTAGACATTGTATGTCATCTTATGATTGATAAACACTGTGATGTTAATGCTAAAGGGAGTGGTGGCTTAACTCCATTGCATTATGCATGTGAAAATGGTTGTTTTGAAATTGTTAAAATTTTAATTAATAATCCACAATGCAATACTGAAACTGAAAGCAATTCCATTGACAGACCACTACACAAAGCATGTGAATCTGGAAATATAGACATTGTACGTCATTTTATGATTGATAAACACTGTGATGTTAATGCTAAAGGGAGGGGTGGCTTAACTCCATTGCATTATGCGTGTGAAAATGGTTGTTTTGAAATTGTTAAAATTTTAACTAATAATCCACAATGCAATACTGAAGCTGAAAGCAATTCCATTGACAGACCACTACACAAAGCATGTGAATCTGGAAATATAGACATTGTACGTCATCTTGTGATTGATAAACACTGTGATGTTAATGCTAAAGCGGTGGTGTGGCTATACACCATTACATTATGCATGTGAAAAGAGTCATTTGGACATTGTTAAATTTCTGGCTAATCATTCACAATGTAACATTGAAGCTCAAAATAAGTTTAATAATAGGCCAATACATTTAGCTATAAGGGGTAAAACACATATGAACATTCTAAATTATCTTGTTGAAGTGAAAGGTTGTAATACTCAGGGGATAACCACTTATAATAGGAAAACTAATAGTTACCTTCATATTCATCAATCCAGTGGTATAGCATTATTACGTGTTGTTAAGTGTATATTGACAGGTCCTCCTGGTGCTGGTAAGAGTACATTAAAGAAGAGACTCCTCAATCAATCTCTTGATACAGGTCCTTCTCTTAGTACTGGTGTAATTGATGCAGCTGTACAAGTTAATTCATTTCGTAAACTATCACAGCACAATGCAGTAGTGACTACAGAATGGAAGGAACAGGAACTTGATGAAGAAGCTATACTGATCACTAAGAAACTATTACCAGCAAGCAACACATCAGATGAATCTAGTACTAGACCTACCACACCTCATGAAATATTGCATGAAAGTACCAGTACACCTCAGCCTATGTCAGTGAATGAGACAGTAGGTCTAACTTCATCAATTGAAAGCAAACAAGAATCACCAAAGGGATTTGATTTGTCTCCTATTACTAGTCAACAGGGCAATAAAAATGTTTCTACATCTTCACCAATGTGCATGGAGACAGCAGCAATTGACACAGTTGTTGTTGATGAGAGCTTGATTATGGAGCATGAAAATATACCCAGTTCACCTGCAAAAATAGTTAATTGTGAGGAAGAAGAAAGTAATACTGAAGTACAAAATAGTAGCAGTTCAGTAAATGATAGTGTCAAAGGTTTATCAGATTATGTAATGAAGATACCTGTTAGAAAGAGAGAAGAATACGAGGAGAAGTTTGAAGAAGCAAAAGATGATCACCACACAATGTTACACATCATTGATACTGGAGGACAACCTGAGTTTCATGAAATATTACCAGCTCTTATAACTGGCCCAGCTATCAATCTACTGGTATTCAAACTAACTAAAGATTTAAGGAGTCGCTATGAAATAATCTATCGAACCTCTTCTGGTGATTCAAAGCCTTATGAAACCTCATTGACACATGAAGAAGTGATATTCCGTTCACTAGCAAGCATAGCTTGTTTAAGACAGAACACTATTGGATGGAGATTTGACGAAATGCCTATTGAAGATAAGTCAGAACCCGTTGCCTTCCTTATTGCTACACACAGAGACCAAGTGGATGAGAATAAAGTGAGTGAAGTCAACCAGCAACTGAGAACCAAGATAGAGAACAGCTCACACTTGTTTGACTCCGATCTTACAAGTCATTTTTCCACTCAACACTACAAAGGATAAAGAAGAAGTAGAACACCTTCGTTCTTTACTTCATGAGGCTATAGCTAGAAAATTCCAGGAATTAGAAATACCGGTATCTTGGTGTACTCTTAGTTTAAGATTAAGAAAAAGTAAGAGGAGGCTTTTTAATTATTATACTTGTTTTCAATTAGCTCAAGAGTGTGGTATCAAGGATACAGAAGAGTTTAGAAATGTTTTATGGTATTTACATCACAGAGTGGGCATCATCATGCACTATCCTAATGTAGCAGGTCTGGAGGATATTATTATCACTGACCTTCAACTGGTGTTTGACCGTATCACTAATCTCATCACAACATGCTTCACTTTTGAACAGTTAAAAAGTGCTGCTGTGAGGAAAGAGTTTTGTAAAAATGGGCGCTTTTCAGAGTCACAACTAGATAAAATTTCATTACGAGAGAAAGGTGATCCTCTTAATGCAAAGAGACTAGTAACACTACTGAAGCATCTTTATATTGTAGCTGGTCCTATGAAAGCTAAAGTTGATTGAAAAACTGTCAAGTATTACTTTATGCCTTGTGCTCTGAAACCAGCAGATGTAGAAAGAGAGGAGAGAGATGGGTCAGTTAGTCCAGCTCCTTTATTGATATGTTTTGAGTGTGGGTATACTCCTGTTGGTGTATTCTGTTGTCTAGTAGTGTATCTTCTTGATCAGAAGACAGACCGAGCATTGGAATGGAAGTTAACTGGCAATGATCAATATCGTAACAGGATTACCTTTCAAGTTGGGCAATACTATGATACTGTTACCTTAATCAGTCGTGCTACTTACCTTGAAGTTTGGGTTCAGCAAATGAAAGGCTCAGAGCTATCAACAAGTGATTTATTATCATCATTGCACAAAGGACTAGTCACAGTAACACAATCACTCCATTACACTTATAAGTCAAAGCATATGTTTGGAATATCATGTACATGCACTGCAGTGCCTCATCCTGCTGTGATTGGCCTTAATAAAAAAGCAACTATGTGTTTGAATGGCAGAATAGTGGAGTTTAATGAGAAGCAATTATACTGGTCCAGTAAGGTAAGTAACAATACAGCATTGCAAACTATATGGCTGTATTAAATGTGTGTGTTTAGGTTGTTCAGCTGAATAACGCAACACAAAATGCAAGCAGTGAAATACCATCTCAAGCTGGTAAATCAATCAATTTGACATGTTTGTAATAAACATACTGTATCATCTTGTAGAATCTCACATTCCTAAAAGTTCTTTATCCCATGGCACAGCTCCAGTAGATATAGAAGGTTGCTCCAACGATTTGATTTTAATTTGTGTTTACTACATTTTCTTTTAGTTTGTCCTAGAGACTTGTTTCTTCATCACTCAGCTGATATTACCCAGTGCATCTCATTTGATGTAACGGATGACGATACACAATCTTCAAGCAATACTAGTAATGTATTGGGACTTAAAAGACACAGTGAAGATGAAGCCTCTGAATCTGCTTTAACAAATATAAAACAAAGACTTTTGTCTGATGATGTTGATGATCCTCCCTCTCCTCTTAATAAAGGATATGGTAAAAAATCAACTGAAAATAAACCACACAGAATAAAAACTGGACAGCCCTCTGGTAGTAATTAAACCATGATTCTATAATTTTATTCAGATTTGCTATTTTTATCGCTGCAGATGAGCTTGGAAAAAGGAAACAAAATGAAGATCATGATGGTTCATCAAGAAGTAAAAGGTTTAAAGTGTCTGGTAATAATGACACTACTGCAGAAACAACTATTAAATGGGAAAGCTCATTGTCTCATAATGCAGGTATTATGTCTATGGCAACTTTTCACACAAGATGTTTTCATGTCATGATAATTAACGTTTCATTAACTCATGTATATGCAGATCTCCTGTTGGAAATAAAGCCTCAAAAGAGTGATCTTCTCAGGCTATTTCAATCTTCTGATGCTCATTATATGATTATTGGGACTGCATTAAATGTTAAAGTGGATGACCTATTACCCAATCCACAGTCAACTACTAGTAATCTCATTCAAGTATTCCAGAGATGGATAGACTCCGATGACGATGTGACCTGGAGAAATATTCTGCAAGTTTGTGGAGATTATCCTGATAAATTTGGAAAAGCAAAATCTGATGTGCAACAATTTCTTTCATCAGATAGAGCTCGTATAAAATATCTTAAATAAGGTACATTGCCTTTATCATTACATGTGATCATAATGTATATAGCTTTTATAAAAGACCCAGTACAAGGTTCATACACTATCAGTTATGATCCTCCTTCCTGTAGAGACTGATCAACAAATAAACCTGGTTCTAAGAAATTATGTAACTACATACATTTAAATTAGCTTTACTTTCATAAGTTTCATTTATAGGCAGTAAAAGATAATTTTTACAAAAGATTTTTTATCGTGCTTGATCACTTATTTCTTTACACACTATCACTTAACATTACACTTCTGTCACTTAACATTTTTTGTTTATAAATCATAAAACCATACAATTTTAACATTAAAAATATTAACTAGAAATTATTACAATCATAATTGTCATTTCACAAATCATTTCTTCAAGGAGGAACAATCTAAAACAAAAAGAAGATAAATACATTATGTCCTCTTGACCATCTCACCCTCTCTCTCTCTTCTCAGGATCCATTATTCTCTCTCTCCCTTACCTTCACTTGTTGTTACCTCCTCCTCCTCCTCCTGTTGTGTTGTTGTTATTAGAGACAAACTGTATTTACATAAAAATTTACTATGCAGGATCATGTACAGTTCTTAATATGAAAAATTCACCTTCTCATTTTTCTCTATTTGTCCAGCAGCAAGATCAAGGAAAACCTGTCCCAGTTCTTGTTCCTTCCTTAGATCAAATTGTGCCAGTTCGTCTGATAAATCTCTACAAATCATCTCAAGATATTCTTTGGCATCTGAGCAGTTGCTGCTAGCTTGAGCCCACTTCTCACTAATAGAATCATCAAGACCAATGTTCCTCCTTGAGGGTGACCAGCAATTACCGCCATGAGCATTAGTAGTATCTGGTCTTGACTCATCTCTTGAATGACAGCTGCTA